GTTGTTCACACTGGTCCAGCTTTGGCCATTGGTAGCTCTTCCAGGTCGGTTCCTGCGTCCTTTTGACATGCCCCTCCCCCTCTTTAAGGGCGATTGAAAATCAAAGTTATACTTTGCAATTAATTGTTTTTTATTAAACATTATTTAATTCCAGAGAAGTCTATGTCTATATATTCGTGTGTGTGTGTGTGTGTGTGTGTGTGTGTGTGTGTTTTAAACACTTGTATGTCTAACCTTGTTAGGTCCTATGCAAATGTTAAATTCATTCTTAAAACTACACAAAGCAAGTCCCAAAGCAATTCTTATGTGTAGACCCATTTATCAGTCCTCTATTAAATACGGAGAATGTCTTTGATGTGGAATTGCTTACAGCTGTGCAGTAAATGCTCATAAAATAAGGATTAATTGACAATGAATGTGGTACAAATTGCTTCACATGGGAAAAAAACCTGGAGGACCCGTGGCCAAACGTATGGTTTTGTCTTCTTTTTTTTTTAATAAATAAGCTAGTAATAAATTTTATGAAGGTTTCACTTTTTATTGCATTACCTGTTTTCACAGAAGTTGGCAAACACTGGAATATTTTGAGATGAATTATGAGAGGATCTGTAACCTATACTCACTGGAGAGAAATTTTAGTGATGAAAGAAGACGTTGTCCTTGACCCTGAGTATCCTTTAAGAGGAAATAACTGTGCAACCATAACTTACGGTAACTCTTTAACGCCAAATTATATTTGACCTAGTATCATCAAATGATGTCAACACAGATCCAGAAATAGTATTTCTTAGCTATGTAGTGCCATAGAGACGTCATGGAATTTGACTTTTTGTGGAACATTTTAAATGTCCCCAGAGAGAAGAAGGAATTATGTTTGCTATTAAGAGTATGTAACCGTTTATATCAAAACCCCAGTTTAGAAATTGCGTAGGTGACTACAGTGCAGCTGAATAATGGCCCCCAAAGACATCAGGCCCTAAGCCCTGGAAACTGAAAATGTTACCATATTGGAAAAAGGGTCTTGGCAGATGTGGTTAACTTAAAGACTTTGAGATGAGACTACCGTGGATTATCTGGGTGTCCCTAAATATAGTCACAAGTATCTGTGTAAGAGAAAGGCAGGTGGACATCTGACACACACACACACACACACACACAGAAGAGGAGAAGGCACTGTGACCATGAAAGCAGAGACTAGAGTGATGAGACCACAAGCCAAAGGATGCCCACAGCCACCAGAAGCTGGAAGAGGCAAGGAACTGACTGTCCCCTAGAGCCTCCAGAGAGAACATGGCCCGGCCATACCTTGATTTCAGCCCACTGACACTGACTTCAGACTTCTGGATTCCAGACTGTGAGAGCATCAGTTGTTTTTGTTTCAAGCCACCAAATTCATGGTTATTTGTTACAGCAGCAAGAGTAAATGGATACAATGACCTAGGTATGCCTTTACTCACCTGACATTTACCCAAAAGATAAAATATTTTTCTTTACAAAATGATTCATAACAGACTTGAAAATATCAAGTTCTCCCATTGCCTTTAAAATAAGCAATTTATAAAAACAAATATTTTGGAAATTCCCTGGTGGTCCAGTGGTTAGGACTCGGCGCTTTCACTGCCCCGGTTCAATCCTTGGTTGGGGAACTAAGATCCCGCAAGCGGTGCGGCCAAAAAAATATATAAGTAAATAAATAAAAACAAATATTTTACACACATTTCAGGAAGTTTTCTGTAATGTAAGCCCTGCAACTTTCAATACCATCAGTATGTTAATGCCTCCTAACTTCAAATCTCTAGCCCAAATGACTCCCTTTAATTTGACATTTGTATATCCACTTGCCTTCTCAGCATTGTCACTTGGATACCCAATAGGCACCTCAGATTAACATATCCAAAACTGACTCCTGTCCTTTTCCCTCTGACTTTCTTGTCCCTAGCCTGCTCCATCTTGGCAAATGGCAACTCCATCTTTTCAGAGATTGAGCTCAAAAATCTTGCAGACATGTTTGACCCCTTTCCTCTCATAACCAACCACAAGTCCTATCTTGGTTCTATTTTCAGATTATATCCAGGATCTAGCCACTTCTTACCACTTCTACTGCCTGCACCCTCGTCCAAGACACCATCATTTTCCCCCTGCATTATTGCAAAAACTTTCTAACTAGTCTCCCAGCTTCTGCCCAGCAGAAAACAGCTTCCGTCTCTTAGGAAACAGAGTGATTCTTTTACTATGTAAATCAGGTCCTGCCACTCCTTTGCCCCAAACTCCCATTGGTTCTCCATCTCACTCAGATTAAAAACCAAGTCCTTCTAATGGTCAGATTGCCTTAAATCTCATCTCCTACAACTCTCGCCCTTACTCATTCTGTTTTTCAAACAAACCAGGCATGATCTGATTGCTCTCAGCTCAGGGTTCTTGCTCCTGCCTCTGCCTGGAATCTTCATCCCCCAGCAACCTGCAAGACTCCCTTACTTCAGGTCTTAGCTCACTGGCGATGCCCTCTCGACCACCTCCCAAGCACTATCATCCCTGGCACATATTTACATGCTGATTGTCTGTCTTCCTCCCCATTAGAATGTTCACTTCACAAAGGCAGGAACTTTGGGTCAGATATGTGCACAGCCAATAAGCTGAAAGTGCCAGAAATGCCAAATATGAAAAAATATATATACCAATGTAGCAATTAATATATAGGCACACTATTTTCAATAATTAGTAACATAATATATATTACCATGGTTCTTTCTGAATAAACTTTTTCCAATCAGTATTTCTCCCTTCATTTTAGATTCCTTATTCTTTTTTTTTTTTGTTTGGCCATGAGGCGTGGCATGCGGGTTCCCTAACCAGGGATGGAACCTGTGCCCCCTGCAGTGGAAGCTTGGAGTCCTAACCACTGGACCTCCAGGGAATTCCTAGATTCCTTATTCTTCCACTGCCATTTTTTCTCTTCTGAAACCACTTTCTTTCTCACAAAGCCACATATTTAATCTCAGGCTCACTCAAATAATAGATTTATAAAGAGTCTGTCTATAATACAGTACTTTTACCTATTTTCTCTGCCCATTGCTCGGACTTTTACTGGTATCCTTCTTTATTTACTTCACTTTAAATTTTTGTTTCCTTTGCAAGCTTTTCCTTAGATTTCAATTGGCTTTCATTACTGTTACCTCCAAGCCTAGAGAGGAAGGGCTTCAGTTTGGTGTGGAGCCAACTGACTTTTCTCCACCTATTCGCCTTCTTTACACTCTTATTTTTTGAGTTCCGTAAATAATAAATCTGTATAGTCCATCACACCTTTGTTACTTTTTGTTTTTTCAAACTTTTCACACAAAGTGTAGAACTCCAAATCCTTTTGTCTACTCTAGTCAAAGCAACTGCCCAACAAATGTAGAGCCAGAAAACATCTTACCCTAGTGTGTCTCAACGAGCTGTTAGAATGTGCTTTCGAAATTTGTAAGGGAATTTGGGGTTGTCACAGTCACGGTGGATGAGGAAGGTATCAACATGTAATTGGGATGCTGAACAACTGCAATGCAACAAACCTACACAATAAAATATCGTCTCACATTCCATTAGACTTTTCAATGTCCTGCCAGACACCTCCTTATGTGTCTGAGGCCTAACTCCATTATACATATGCCAAGCTTTTTTTTTTGAAGTTTTAATACGCACTAAATTTTCTAAGACTTCTTCTATGTGAAAAACAATGGAAGATTATACTTCGATATAGTCAGAACTTTACCAAGAAGTTGTACACCATATTGGAAAAATCATGCCACCCTTATGCTTGAGGAACCAAAAGAACACACCTGTGGCAGCTGTAATGTTTGCATTTATAATTATTGTATTGTATATGTGTACAAGCAAATGACTACTTCTTTGTATTTCTACTGTAGACATGTTTTAGCCTTTATATTTTGAAATATATTATTATTTTGCTATTTTGCAATGTTTCTCCTTTACAGCTAGGACGTTTTCTTGTTTCATGTTTGTTTTTTAGTTATGTGTGTAGATGGGTTATATTATCCATGATTTTCATTCCAGAATAGTTTTTTTTGTTGGTTTTTCTTTTTAATTTTTTTTTCCAAGCCATACAGCATGTGGAATATCAGTTCCCTGACCAGGGATCGAACCCACACCCCCTGCATGGGAAGCAGAGTCTTAACCACTGGACGGCCAGGGAAGTCCCCAAAAGAGTATTTTTTTTTTTTTTTTTAAAAAGGTCTATTCAGCATATATAAAGAGATGTTGGTGCTGATTAAACTGAGAATCACTAACATAACAGTAGACCGCTCCAAGATTTCCCGTTTGCTTCCCAGGCTACTGTTGACACTTGGACCACACCACACACAGCCTCATTCTCACGTTCAAGGATCTTAAGCTTTTTTTTTAAAAAAGGGACCCAGATGGTGTGGATGATAATGAAGAAAACTTGTATGGTCCTTAATTGGAAAATCGGCTCGGATATACGTGATCTCTTTTGATGCTCATAAGAGTTTGGAAAGGGAAAGCAAATAAAACGTCTTTCTTAAGATTCTTCTTACAAACACAATATTTACCTATTATACTACTCAGCCACTGCCATACCTTCTCTTATTAACTTTAAGAGATCCCACAGATTAAGCCAAGATTCTCAACCAGATGAAACCTGAGAACTCTTTTCTTCGGTGTTTATTTCAGCCTGCTCCTATAGACAGGAGAAAACCGAGATCCAAGAAAAGTTAAGCAACTTGCCCACGGCTCTGAGAAATCATAATATTTCAAAGCAGAGGTGTAAGAATATGTATCATAGCCTATTCGATTACACTAGCTTTTCTCACCGCAAACTATAGATGAGAAGTCTGTCAGCAAAGACAAAACCGGACGTAGGGTGCACGAGCAAGCCTCGCGCCCCAGCTCCGCCCCCAGGGCTGTCCGCGGCGCTGCCTGCCTGGAGGCCAGCGCAGGGGGCCTCGTGGGGTCCTTCGCGCGGGCTGCCGACGCACTGCCTGAGCGGGTGCGCCGGCTGCTTCCGGTGTGGGTGACGAGTGGTTCCGAACTAGGGGGACATCAACGGACGCTCAGGTAGGGACCATGGCGGACAGCGGCTCGGAGCGGGCAGATGGGCGCATCGTCAAGATGGAGGTGGACTACAGCGCCACGGTGGATCAGCGATTGCCGGAGTGCGAGAAGCTGGCCAAGGTGAGGGGAGGCCGGCTGGCTGTTGGCGGGCGCCAGGGGCTGAGTCACGGCGCCGAGCTTGCTTAGGCCTCAGGGGGCCAGCGGGCTGGAGCGCGCAACCCGCTGTTGCCTGCCCGGCCCGAGCTAGGCCTGCAGAAGTAGGAGCTCCTAGGTCGGCCTGACCAGGGAGACCCCGCAGCCGGAGTACGCTAGTGCATACAGCTTCCCAGAACCTCTCCAGGACAGATGGTCACTTCATTCCCTTAGGAGTTGGGGCTCCATTAGTACTTTTTACCTTTTCTTGGATACTGTTTCACGTTTACTTGAGTAGTTTCTCAGGGATTAAGGCCGCTTCAGCATTCACGCTAGATCAGAGAGTTTAATTCTCTTGCTCTTGTCGAATCAGTTTCTCTGGTTAAGTTGCGTACGCATCGTGGCGATGTGTTGGGCCTTTGGCCAGGAGAAGGGACAGGAAAGGGACAGGGACGAAGGTGATTAACACAGGACCCCTGTCCCTAAGGAGTCCGTGTACACAACAAATTACACAAGTTACGCGTGGTAGTGAGTGCCATACAAGTATGAAAGTCTTACTGGAACACAGAAGGAAGCCGTTCGTTTTTACTGGTCGGTTAAGGGAGGGTTTTACAGAGAAGCTGACGTTTGTATCAGGCCTTGCAGAATAAGATTGGGTTGGGGAGGAGTCATCCCTGGAGCGGGAACTGCACGAGTAAAGACAAACAGGCACAGAAGTATAAAGTAACATAATTAATGGAGGTCGTTAACAGTAGTTTAGCCCAGCTGCATATCTCCCATGAAATAGAAATTTTACTTCATCCGAACATTTATCGTGCAACATGGGATGTTGTGTGTCAGGCAACTTTGTGTATCATTTTACATGTAAAGGAACCAAGGCTTAGAGTTGTCTGTCCATCCTAACAATTAGCAATAGGTAGAACCAGCGATTTAAACCTAGGTGCCTGACTAGGGTTTGGATGGTTGTTGCATCACCTTCATCAGGGAACATTGTTAAGGGTTGTGCTCAGGCCTCTTTAAATTCCTTGGTCAATCCAGCCACAAACATGTATTGCTGTTCATCTGGGATGCATTCACTAATAGGGTTGTTTTTGTCTCTTAAGGAGCTTACTACCTAAGTACATTAAAACATACTAAATTCAGGGGCAGGAGGAGTGTCAAGTAATACTTCACATTTAATTCTCAGAAAGAACCCTTTTAATGCTTCCCTTTTTTTCCAAAAAAGAATTTAGTGGGGCTTTACAAAAGACAAGGTTAGGGAAAG